TAATGTTAACCTCGTATCCCATTGTACCATGTATAATGTTAACTCCGTATCCCATAGTATCATGTATAATGTTAACTCCGTACCCCATAGGATTATGTATAATGTTAACTCCATATCCATAGTATTATGTATAAAATTTTAACTCGTATCCCATAGTATTATGTATAATGTTAACTTCGTATCCTATAGTATTATGTATAATGTTAACTCCGAATCCCATAGTATCATGTATAATGTTAACTCCGTATCCCATAGTATCATGTATATTGTTAACTCCGTATCCCATTGTATCATGTATAATGTTAACTCCGTATCCCATAGTATCATGTATAATGTTAACTCCGTACCCCATAGTATTATGTATAATGTTAACTTCGTATCCCATAGTGTCATGTATAATGTTAACTCCGTATCCCATAGTATCATGTATAATGTTAACTCCGTATCCCATAGTATCATGTATAATGTTAACTCCGTATCCCATAGTATCATGTATAATGTTAACTCCGTATCCCATAGTATCATGTATAATGTTAACTCCGTATCCCATAGTATCATGTATAATGTTAACTCCGTATCCCATAGAATCATGTATAATGTTAACTCCGTATCCCATAATATCATGTGTAGTGTAAACTCCGTATCCCATAGTATCATGTGTAGTGTAAACTCCGTATCCCATAGTATCATGTATAATGTTAACTCCGTATCCCATAGTATCATGTATAATGTTAACTCCGTATCCCATAGTATTTGTATAATGTTAACTCCGTATCCCATAGTGTCATGTATAATCTTAACTCCGTATCCCATAATATCATGTGTAATGTTAACTCCATATCCCATAGTATCATGTATAATGTTAACTCCATATCCCATAGTATCATGTATAATCTTAACTCCGTATCCCATAGTATCATGTATAATGTTAACTCCATATCCCATAGTATCATGTATAATGTTAACTCCGTATTCCATAGTATCGTGTATGATGTTAACTCCGTATCCCATAGTATCATGTATAATGTTAACTCCATATCCCATGGTATTCTGTATAATGTTAACTCCGTATCCCATAGTGTCATGTATAATGTTAACTCCGTATCCCATAATATCATGTGTAATGTAAACTCCGTATCCCATAGTGTCATGTATAATCTTAACTCCGTATCCCATAGTTTTATGTATAATGTTAACTCCGTATCCCATAGTATCATTTCTAATGTTAACTCAATATCCCATAGTATCATGTATAATGTTAACTCCATATCCCATAGTATCATGTATAATGTTAACTCCGTATTCCATAGTATCGTGTATGATGTTAACTCCGTATCCCATAATATCATGTATAATGTTAACTCCGTATCCCATGGTATTATGTATAATGTTAACTCCGTATCCCATAGTATTATGTATAATGTTAACCTCGTATCCCATAGTATTATGTATAATGTTAACTCCGTATCCCATAGTATCATGTATAATGTTAACTCCGTATCCCATGGCATGATGTATAATGTTAGCTCCGTATCCCATAGTACCATGTATAATGTTAACCTCGTATCCCATAGTATCGTGTATAATGTTAACTCCGTATCCCATAGTATCATGTATAATGTTAACTCCGTATTCCATAGTATTATGTATAATGTTAACTCCGTATCCCATAGTATCATGCATAATGTTAACTCCATATCCCATAGTATCATGTATAATGTTAACTCCGTATCCCATAGTATTATGTATAATGTTAACTCCGTATCCCATAGTGTCATGTATAATGTTAACTCCGTATCCCATAGTATCATGTGTAATATTAACTCCGTATCCCATAGTATCATGTATAATGTTAACTCCGTATCCCATAGTACCATGTATAATGTTAACTCCGTATCCCATAGTATCATGTATAATGTTAACTCCGTATCCCATAGTACCATGTATAATGTTAGCTCCGTATCCCATTGTATTATGTATAATGTTAACTCTGTATCCCATTGTATCATGTGTAATGTTAACTCCGTATCCCATAGTATCATGTATAATGTTAACTCCGTAGCCCATAGTATCATGTGTAGTGTAAACTCCGTATCCCATAGTATCATGTATAATGTTAACTCGTATCCCATAGTATCATGTATAATGTTAACTCGTATCCCATAGTATCATGTATAATGTTAACTCCGTATCCCATAGTATCATGTATAATGTTAACTCGTATCCCATAGTATCATGTATAATGTTAACTCCGTATCCCATAGTACCATGTATAATGTTAACTCGTATCCCATAGTATCATGTATAATGTTAACTCCGTATCCCATAGTGCCATGTGTAGTGTAAACTCCGTATCCCATAGTGCCATGTGTAGTGTTAACTCAGTATCCCATAGTGCCATGTGTAGTGTTAACTCAGTATCCCATAGTGCCATGTGTAGCGTTAACTCCGTATCCCATAGTGCCATGTGTAGTGTTAACTCAGTATCCCATAGTGCCATGTGTAGTGTTAACTCCGTATCCCATAGTGCCATGTGTAGTGTAAACTCAGTATCCCATAGTGCCATGTGTAGTGTTAACTCAGTATCCCATAGTGCCATGTGTAGTGTTAACTCCGTATCCCATAGTGCCACGTGTAGTGTTAACTCCGTTATATACCTGGTTTTACTTTATTCTATTTTTTTAAGGCCTTGCATACTTTTTGTTTGGCTTACGGATCCGTCGACTTTAAAAAGGAAACAAAAACATCAGAATGAGCTTTTTTACCGCCGTCGGTAAAAATCACTTTGACAATAAAATAGTCATAGGGATTTTTTTATGACTATTTTTTTAAACGATAAATCGTCATTAGAAGTCAAATATATGTTTTAAACCACAATCAACCCGAATTGATAAAAAACAGAAATGTCAGATATTTTTAGATGTAGGCTATCATATTTATTAGAACCATAACCAGGCCAAAAGCTTTACATTTACGTCACCTATCGATACACATCAAATTATAAGGTGCATAAAAAAAATCTGGTACAATGGTTTTTTTTCGACCTACCGATAATATTTTTCACCCTCAAAATCCGTACCCCAAAAATAAACAATCTTGTCTAATTTTGTATCGGAGGCATGGACACAAGCTGAGCGATAGACGACATAAACCTGACAAGTGTCGTTACAAAGTCAACACCGACCAAATATATACCACAGGATAACGTCTATATCCAGAACACGTATATCCGTTTGCTGACAGGTCCAAGATACCTGCTGTACATTTCCGACGGGGGCTACAGCATCATAATCGCATGAGCATCACATCGACTTATCAGCGTCTCTCTGTTTGATAGAGTTTCTGCTTCAGTTTGGTCCATCAATGTTTTTCTTATCTGTAGGCTGATTTAGACTGAAGCGGCGATCCCGGGCCTAGTGCTGTTTGTACAGAGGGCTAACGAAGCCTCCCACTCAATGGAGGAAGCTAACTTGTAGCGCTAATTAGGCCGTTGTGCTCACATTGGCGCGGTTCTCAGGCCAGTGGACGTATAAATGGATCCTGGGATCTATAGCCACTGTCACTGATGGTGAGATCATGAGAAAAAAATCGTCGACGGTGTTCCAGACGGATTAGGTGTGGCATCCGAGGACCACTGTGTTCGCTGTGGGTTATATTTGCAGGGTGGGTGTGGTTTTGAGTGGTTTTAAATGTCAGCAAATGTACGACAGATAGTGCCTTATATTCCTCGACTATTTTGTCCGTCGTGAGCTCTGTAGTTGTGTCACTGTCTAATATCGTAGTTGCAGTGTGCGTCACGGTAATATTGGTGTGTATGTCTCGTAGTATATCACAACGTAGCAGGTGATGTGTGGAACAATAACGTACAGTGTACATGTAGTAGTAGTCGTAGAATTAGTCGTATAAGAAGTAGTAGTAGCAGTAGTAGTAGTAGTAGCGGTGTTGGTGTTGGTGGTGGTGGTGGTATTGGTGGTGTTGGTGTTGGTGTTGGTGTTAGTGGTGTTGTTGTTGTTGTTGTTGTTGTTGGTGGTGGTGGTGTTGATGTTGTTGTTGGTGTTGGTGTTGTTGTTGGTGGTGTTGTTGTTGGTGTTGATGTTGTTGTTGTTGGTGTTGGTGTTGTTGTTGGTGGTGTTGTTGGTGGTGTTGGTGTTGATGTTGTTGGTGTTGGTGTTGGTGGTGTTGTTGTTGGTGTTGGTGGTGGTGTTGATGTTGGTGGTGTTGTTGGTGTTGGTGGTGGTGTTGATGTTGGTAGTGTTGGTGTTGTTGTTGGTGTTGGTGTTGGTGTTGGTGTTGGTGTTGGTGTTGGTGGTGGTGTTGATGTTGGTGGTGTTGGTGTTGGTGTTGGTGTTGGTGGTGTTGGTGGTGTTGTTGGTGGTGGTGGTGTTGTTGTTGTTGTTGTTGTTGTTGTTGTTGGTGGTGGTGGTGGTGGTGGTGTTTTTGTTGGTGGTGGTGTTGGTGTTGGTGGTGTCAGTGGTGGTGTCGGTGTCGGTGTCGGTGTCGGTGTCGGTGTCGGTGTTGGTGATGTTGGTGGTGGTGGTGGTGGCGGTGTCGGTGTCGGTGTCGGTGTCGGTGTCGGTGTCGGTGGTGGTGGTGGTGTCGGTGTTGGTGGTCGTGTTGTTGTTGTTGGTGGTGGTGGTGTTGGTGGTGGTGTTGGTGTTGTTGGTGTTGGTGTTGGTGGTGGTGTTGGTGGTGTTGGTGTTGGTGTTGGTGTTGGTGTTGGTGGTCGTGTTGTTGTTGTTGTTGGTGGTGGTGGTGGTGGTGTTTTTTGTTGGTGGTGGTGTTGGTGTTGGTGGTGTCGGTGGTGGTGTCGGTGTCGGTGTCGGTGTCGGTGTTGGTGATGTTGGTGTTGGTGTTGGTGTTGGTGTTGATGTCGGTGTCGGTGTCGGTGTCGGTGGTGGTGGTGTCGGTGTTGGTGGTCGTGTTGTTGGTGTTGGTGGTGGTGTTGGTGGTGGTGGTGGAAGTAATTCATGGTATGAGGGGAAATGCAAGAGAGTTCCTACCTTTATCTGTATTACTTCCTAGTGATATTCTGTGACGTCAGAGGCGTCAGTGTAAAGTACGTCCCCGACTCTGGACTTGTGTTACTCTGGAAAGGAAATCACCAGGATTAATGCAAGGATAAACTATTCCGATATAGTGAGTGAGTGAGTTGGGTTTAACGCTGCTTGGGACAGTATTCCTGTTTATCACGGTGTATCAGCTTAATGTCGGAGGAAACCCGAAGTGATACAGGTCTCAGACGTTTACCACTTTGATAAAACCCACGAGCATGGGTATTGATAGACATTCTCTGTATACCACAGCCGCCTACACGAAGGTAACGCGGAACCACACCGTTTACGACATGTCACATATTTCCTCTAGCAGAACGCCATCACAACCATTTCTTGACCCCCCCCCCCCCCCCCCCCCGAGTCCAGATATCCACCTTCTGGAACACATCTGGGACAAACCCGTGAGAATCCAGGGTTGAATATATACTCAACAACAAAAGTTCCTGTGACACTTATATTTTAGTGTATTTTTCAAACAAGTAAAGTTTGGTTTTCAGTATTGTAGTACATGTATGGAATCAAGTCACAAAAGCGCTACAGAAAAGCATGCATTCCATGCAAAAGTTGACTTTAATGCAAGCCCCATGCATTTCACTACCCAAGAATGGGTATAAAAACCTGTGCGTTAACGGGATTCCATACGCATTGTTTAACATCGTGCTGACAACAGCCACTCAGAAAAACAACAAAATTATGCAACTATTCAAAATTACGAAATGCCACGTCTGTCAGTAAATGAGCGTCTACGAGCCATTGGTTTGCTTGAAGCAGGATCGAGTCAACGTGATGTTGCAAGACAATTTAACGTCAACAGAAACACCATTTGGTGTTTATGGCAACTTTGGCAACAGACGAATGCAGTCAGAGACCATCCTCGGAGTGGCAGGCCACGCGTAACCAATAATCGACAAGACAACTGGATTCGAAAAACACACCTACGAAATCGATTCCAGCCAGCAACAGTGACTGCAAGAAGCATCCCTGGCCCTCGACGAATATCTTCACAAACCGGACGTCGTCGCCCCAGATGTGCAGGGATTGTAGCCAGAAGACCCGCCAGACGCCCCACTTTGACAGGAAACCACTGTCAAGCACGTCTATGTACAATGGTGCAGACAGCATCTACGATGGACGGTCATGCAGTGGGGAAAAGTTCTATTCACTGACGAGTCTCGTTTTCACCTCAGCCACAGCGATGGACGGATTCGAGTGTACCGACGTCGAGGTGAACGTTACGTCAATCATTGTGTCATGGAAGAAGATCGGAGGAAGACAGAGGACCCGTTTGATAGTGGCAGAGGGTAATCTCAATGGATAGCGCTACCGCGACGAGATCATCGGCCCTGTTGTTCTACCGTCTTTGCGTCGTCATGGCCCAGGCATTACCTTTCAATATGACAACGCCCGGCCTCATATTGCTCGACTTGTTCAGGATTCTCTTCAACAGAACAACGTGAATGTCATCCCCTGGCCGACTCGCTCCCCTGATCTCTCACCAATCGAGCACATGTGGGATGAGATGGATCGGCGCCTTTGACGTCAACCACGTGTTCCACAGACACTCCAGGAACTTCGAAACATACTCCAGCAGATATGGACAGATATCCCTAAGGACTTTGTGCGATGCCTGGTCCATTCGATGTGTTGCTTGCATCGCAACCAGAGGTGGACACACACGCTATTAATTTGCAAATTGACATTTTGGCATGTTCATGGTTTTTTTATGAAATCACGCATTTTCATAAGTCAGTATGGCAAATTAAACCATTTGAACACTTACAGGAGTCTTTTATCTGTTGCAAACTGAAATTGTTTCAGATTTGGTAAAAAACATTACTTAGCATTAAATCTTATTCAATGTCACAGGATCTTTTGTTGTTCAGCATATAGGTCTTCAGCAACCCATTCTTGTCGTGAGGGGCGACTGACGGAATAGGGTGGCCAGTTTCGCTGACTTGGTTGATGTATGTCATCGTATCCCAATTGTGTGGATGGCTTCCAGTGGTCATCTACAGGGCACAAGTATTGCACTGATCCTGACAAAACCTATACCAGGAACGCATCAGACACTGGTGGCATGAGGAATAGGCTTGAATGGCTGCACACGCTACTGGCAATGTCCTCGCAGAAAGTCATGTTGCTTCCATTACAGTCGGGGGCACGGGTGGCCCAGTAGTCCAAGCGTCCCTTGGGCACGCCAAAAACCGATGATTGTGTGTTCGAATCCCTGTTCGCCATCCACAAGTGTCATCGGAACTCTGCAGCTGCCTGCTTAAGTCACGTACCAATCTCGTCAATGATATAACAGTGAAATGTCGACCAATGTTATGAATACCACTTTCTAACATGTTTGTTGTTATTTAGACAAAGAATTACTCTTTAAAAAATAGCACATGTTCTGATTTCTATGCCATAGATTTGGGGCCAGCGCACAAATTTCAAACCTTATGGCCAAAATATCAGGGAGCTCTTAACTGTTTTCAAGGTGAATATATATCAAGGTCATAGAAATGCTTACAAATAAGTATTGTTCTCTGATTTCGACCTTGTTGGCCTTCCGCAAAAAAAGTACCAAAAGAAATATTAGAGGAAAGCGTTTCTGAATTATATTTGTCACATACAAAAAGGTAAATTATTCTACATGGAATGTGTATTGCACTATTAAAGCAACGTGCATCCACAAAATGTCTTCAATTACTCACCGAAAATGAAATGTAGTGATACGACACATTTCAGGTTATTCAACGCAACAAGTCGGCAACGCGTTGACATCAAAACTTTTCGATCGCTCAAAACGTTATTGTTGTTGCTTGCTGCCCTGTCGTACCCGCGATAATATCATTGACCGAGGATTTTCGTGCAACTTTCATTTTGGTTTTTTTCACCGATTAAAGTACATCATTATAAAGTTCCTTCTCGCGCATTTCCCTGTCCATCGTGTAGGGCAACGTTCTCACTGGTCTTGTCATGTACAGCCAGTATTATATACAATATACATGTCCAATAAAATTGGTATACCTTCAATTCTATTGAAAACAATTCTGAACGCATCCTCTTACGCGCTACCTGGATGTGGGTTAAATGAAAAATAAATTTAACAATTTTATTATATTTTTATGTTTCGGAACTGGTCCTCTGATGCGCTGCTGGGATGTGGGTTAAATAAAATTGTTATATCTTCAATTTTATTATATTTTTATGTTTCGGAACTGGTCCTCTGATGCGCTGCTGGGATGTGGGTTAAATATAATTGTTATACTTCCAATTATGTTTTTTTATTTCTGAACTTGTCCTCGGACGCCGAGCCTGGATGTGGGTTAAAAAATGCTTCTCTGGCGTGATGTGATGCGCTGCGCTGTTACAGCACTATACTTTAGTGTGGCCGGCCTTTGAAAGGGCTGTGCTGGAGCTTGGACAGAACTGGCTGACACCACTTCAATATGGTGTCTGAATTATGGAGTTGTGATGCCATCAGTACTCTTACTGCAGCTGGACCATCACACTAATTAAGATCCCCTTCTGCTGCACTAATTTACTGTTAATTATTCCCCACTGACTTCACCACATAAATAATTCACTTCAGAAGGGATGTATTCAATTTAAAATTCTTTGATCGTATTGTTGTCTACAGCTTCTGGGATCCGACCGAGGCTTGCGGCGGGTCGTTATTTAGATACACATGGCATATACTTTAATCAGTATGTCTTTATAAAAAAATATTGTAAAAAATTGGTTGTTTTTTTACATCAAAATAGTCTGTTTAGAATTAGTGCAGGTTCCGACAGAAATTATCACATCACCTCTTCTGACCCAACTAGCAAGTTCTTGGTCCACCAGGGGAATATTCGCACTACATCCACTCCTGCTTGGACATACCATACATCTAAATACAAGAACAAGAACAACCAGTCTAGATTATCCGCCGAAACAGATTCCATTGTGTGGAAAAGGCAAAAGAGAGGTGTAAACTATATGAATGGATCACTGAAAATCGGAGAAGACACCAGGTGTTAAAAGCTTTGCAGAGAAATAATAGTGTGCAAAGCAGTGAAACCGTAAAACAGTTTAAATTGTCGTCATGGGTTTTCAACAATAGCAGGGAATACACGGATAGTGCCATGTTGAAAGATACACGGATGGTGCCACGATGCCATGTTGAAAGATACATGGATGGTGCCATGTTGAAAGATACACGGATGGTGCGATGTTGAAAAGACATGGAGGATTCAATGTTGAACGATACACGGAGGGTGCCACGATGAAAGATTCACGGATGGTGCCATGTTGAACGATACACAGATGGTGTCATGTTGAACGACCCAGGGGTGGTGTCATGTTGAAAGATTCACGGATGGTGCCACGTTGAACGATACACGGATGGTGTCATGTTGAAAGATACACGGATGGTGTCATGCTGAACGATGCACAGATGGTGTCATGTTGAACGATACACAGATGGTCTCATGTTGAACGACCCAGGGGTGGTGTCATGTTGAAAGATTCACGGATGGTGTCATGTTGAAAGATACACGGATGGTGTCATGTTGAACGATACACAGATGGTCTCATGTTGAACGACCCAGGGGTGGTGTCATGTTGAAAGATTCACGGATGGTGTCATGTTGAAAGATACACGGATGGTGTCATGTTGAACGATACACAGATGGTGTCATGTTGAACGACCCAGGGGTGGTGTCATGTTGAAAGATTCATGGATGGTGTCATGTTGAAAGATACACGGATGGTGTCATGTTGAACGATACACGGATAGTAGCACGATGAAAGATTCACGGATGGTGCCATGGTGAACGATACACGGATGGTGCCATGGTGAACGATACACGGATGGTGCTATGGTGAACGATACACGGATGGTGCTATGGTGAACGATAAACGGATGGTGCTATGTTCAAATATACACGGATGCTGCCATGTTGAAAGATACACGGATTGTGCCATCTTGAAAGTATGTAGCCCAATATGTTCTGAGCATAAAGTTCCCAGGTAATGACAACTTGGAGTTATCAATCAC